CCTTCACCAAATCCACACACGCATTTTCCAACTTGGTGCACACCAAGACAACCTCGTTGCCACGCGCCTCATTGGACACTACCCATCACGCATTGCTCTTCGCGTCTTTCACCATCTCCAAAATCCAAACATCTTCCCTTTCAATGCCATCATCAGGTTTCTCGCCCAAGAGGGTAACTTTTTTCACGCCTTTTCTCTGTTCAAAGATTTGAAACGGCATCCACTTTCGCCCAACGACTTTACTTTCTCTTTCCTCCTTAAGGCATGCTTTCGGTCCAAAGATCTCCGTCACGTAGAACAGATTCATGTCCACATTCAGAAGACGGGTTTCCTCTCTGACCCTTCTGTTTGCAATGGCTTGGTTTCTGTGTACGCGAAAGGGTACAACCACTTGCCATCTGCCCGAAAAGTGTTTGATGAAATTCCTGACAAAGGTAGTCAGTTGTTGGACTAGCTTGATCTCTGGTTTGCTCGGTCTGGACAGAGTGAGGAGGCTTTGCGGCTTTTCCATGTGATGATTAGTCAGAACTTGCTTCCCCAAAGTGATACTATGGTCAGTGTTCTATCAGCTTGTTCTAGCCTTGAGGTGCCAAAAATTGAGAAATGGATTAACATTCTTTCAGAATTGATTGGTGATGGAGTGAGTACTAGAGAAACTTACTGTGATTCAGTTAACACGGCGCTGGTTTATTTGTTAGGTAAATGGGAGAAAGTTGAGAGAGTAGAGAAGGGTTTGATCGAATTTCTGCAATAGGAAAAAGAACGTGGTTCCTTGGAATGCTATGATAAGTACATATGTTCAAAACGGTTATCCTGTGGAGGGCTTAAGTCTTTTCCGTACGATGGTAGAAGAACCAGCCACTACACCTAACCATATCACAATGGTTAGTGTGCTTTCAGCATGTGCTCAAATTGGTGATTTGAGTTTTGGAAGTTGGGTTCACGATCACCTAATATCTCTAGGACATAAAGACACCATTGCCTCAAACCAAATTCTCGCCACATCTTTAATTGACATGTTTCAAAATGTGGCAATTTGGATAAGAGCAAAGGAAGTTTTTGAACATACAGTCAGCAAAGATGTGGTCTTATTCAATGCGATGATCATGGGTCTGCAGTATATGGTGAAGCAGAGGATGCATTGAGACTCTTCTACAGAATGCCAGAATTCGGCTTACAACCCAATGCTGGAACGTTTCTTGGTGCTTTAAGTGCATGCAGCCACTCTGGACTATTGGAAAGTGGGCGCTGGATATTCAGAGAAGTGTCCCTTTCCCCTAGTCTTACATTGGAGCATTGTGCTTGTTATATTGATCTTCTTGCAAGAGTAGGATGCATAGAAGAAGCTATGAAGGTTGTGATTTCCATGCCTTTCAAGCCTAACAATTTTGTCTGGGGTGCTTTGCTCGGAGGCTGCTTGCTCCATTCTAGAGTGGAGTTGGCCCAAGAGGTTTCCAGGAGGCTTGTTGAAGTAGACCCAGACAATTCTGCAGGCTATGTTATGTTGGCAAATGCATTTGCATCTCAGAATCAATGGAGTGATGTCTCGGAGCTGCGGTTAGAAATGAAAGAGAAGGGAATCAAGAAGCAACCAGGAAGTAGTTGGATTGTTGTGGATGGAGTTGTGCATGAGTTTCTCATTGGCTGTTTGTCACATCCTAAAATTGAGAGCATATACCATAATTGGGTGGATTGGTGAAGCATATGAAAGTAGCAAGCCATTGCCTGCTTGTATGCTGTTGTTAAATAAGCCGTGATTGCAGCAACAGGAAATTGCGCAAGTAATTTCTTGTCAAAGCTTGCACCTTTGGTTATATGAGCAAGGAGTATTTTTGAGGGAATTAAACTTCAATGTTGATTTTTTTTTTATCTTTGACCATTTATCAGCATGACGACAGTTTTGAGACTAAACCCCTGGGTGGTTGTAGTTGTGTTGTGAATAACAGGAATTAGGTAGCATCCTCCTGCATGAGATGTTCATTTTATGATCACACTCCACTTATACACGACCATTTAAAGGTAACTAATTTTTTTTCCATGTATGAATAATTTATTAATTATATATATCTTGCATCAAATATAAAAAAGTCAGTTTTTTTTGTCAATGGTAAAATGAAATTACAACTAACAAAATGTGTGATATTTATACATTGTACTGGAAGGTAGTATGAAATTTATCGAATTTATCAAAATCTTTCTTAAATAATCCTAAAATACATATACTTTTAAGTACCAACACAATTTTTACAAGTTATAAATTTTAAAGGTTAAATTTTACTTTTAGTTTTTTAATTTATTTTTTATTTGAGTTTGGCTCTTCAACTTTATACACATTTCAATTTAGTCCATGTTAAGTCTGTAAAATGGTTTATTTTTGTCATTTCCATCACAAAGCTTACGAAACATGATAAGAGTATGATATGATCACTATATACTCACCTACGAATATGAGTTCAATATTTCTTGCTTGCAATATTTTATTTTTTTAAATAACGATTGAAAAAGTTATATTTGTGGCTAGGCAATTTTTTTAAAAGTTACTATTGTTGGTCCTCTAGGCAGTACATTAGTGATTCTGTTCAGATTTTGTAAACTGCTTTTTGAATAGTTGTGTTTTCTTTTATGTTTTGTTCAGAGTGCAAAGGCTTAAATGTGAAGGTGTGCTAAGTCCCTATTTCTTGTATTTTTCATAGTTAATAGCATTCCTTTTGGGCCTTGTTTAGTTCTAATTTTCTCTTTTTTGTTCAAATTTATTATCATTGTAAAATCTTAATTTTTGTGAAAATGTGTTAATTTGGAGTTTTTATATAGACTTTTTGTTAATAAGTTTAAAAGTAAATTCTGACAGCTTTGATTACTGCTGCATGTTTGATTCATAACTTTTTCATAGTATGTAATTAAATTGATTCTTTTTGCATTGCTTTATGATTCAATTATTTTTAATTTGGATGTAAGAACGTAATTTTGAAAATGTCAAACAATTTGTAGAGGTGTGACTTTAGAGTTTAGTGCAGTTCATTTTCTTAGCTTGCTGGTGCAGTGAACTTGAGAGGAGAAGCTTGGGTAATTCTGTGCTGTGATAAACCCTGCAGTTCCAATCCATTGCAGTTAAGGGTAGTCATTGCTGAAGTGTGAACAACTTGAAGTAGGCTGGAAGTGGAGCTGAAGAATACTGGCTAGTGCTGTCATTTCTAAAGAATTAGAAGCTAAACAGGCTTGAAACTGCACCTGACCTGAACGTGACTTGATGGAAGAGCTTGCATGGCAAGCTTGAATAAGCTGGAGAGTGGACCTGAAGCTGGTTGGACCAAGGGAAGTAACCTGCTCCTGCAGTTGGGACTCAAAGAGACAAAATTAATCAAGCTAAGCTGACCTGCACTAGCCTGGCCTGAAGATTGGAGCTGACTTGTTTTACTTGCTACCTATTAGTTTGTAATTGTGTTTTAACTAGTCTAGACAGATTGATATACTTTAGACCTGTCATTGGCAGTTGCTTTATGACTGTTTTAGGAAGTTTTATAGGTTTTCCAGTTTTAAATCACAGCATATAATAAGGCTTGTTCATAGACAGATTTACTGTTACAATACAGCTTCCTTAGCATAGTTTTCAATAGTAGTAAAAGCTCTAGAGTAGGTCCTGTAATTGGAGTTCTGTCGTTCATCTGAAGTTCTCTGCTGCCTTATACTCCAAAGGAGCTAGGTTGCAAGTGCTTCAGATCTTTGTACTTTCACACCAGTTTACATCAAATTCAAGTTAGTTACATGCAATTTTACTTTCTTGCAAACTTCTACAGATTCCTACTGCTTTGCCTTTACGTTTCTGTCTTTTACTTTCTTGCACATTTACATTTGATGCTTTTACAATGCTCTCACTTCTACATCAGAATTCATTTTTACTGTTGATGATCATGTGGCTTTTACTTTTGTAACCTACTAAACTCAATTATGGATTCGTGCTGAGACTTAGTGAGTATAAAGTAACCGCCTATAGACCAAGGAATCCGAAATGATCCTTGGCCATCAAAAGTAAACCTAATGAACATCAATTGAGAGTTATTGTTTCTTGTTAGACAGCTTTACATGCTTTTCTTTACTGCCTTTAGAAGCTTTCTTTAAATTCCCAGTCGCATTTGATTTCAATTCCAGCACTTACTTTCTAACTGTTTTACTTTCAACAATGCAATTTAATCATTTGAAACTCATTCAAACGTTTGATTTCAGTTTTGTTCCAGATTACTCATAGTAGTAATCTCGTTTCCCGGGCACCAGTTTTTCTTTGTTTGAATGTTGAGTTTTGATTTCTGCTGCTAATTCCAGTTCCAATTACTTTTCATGATTGTTTCTACATAAGATTCAGGCTTCTGCATTCAATAATACAGATTTAGCTCTTAGTTTCCAGTTCTAGCCATTTAGTTAGGTTTTCTAGGTAGGTAGTTTGCTAATTTTAGGAATTTGATGTGTATATATTGTCAGCATCTGTCTCATTCATTGGCTTATTTATTTGTTCATTTGGAAGACCTCTCTGCTACTGCACCTTTGTCTGTTAGTAACACTTCACAGAAGAAAAAAGCTTCAGCTACCTACCAAAACTAACGAACACATTTAACTATTAAGTTGTGGGAACCAAAGTACGCATATTCATGGCAGTGTTTACACGTTGTCCCTGTCCACAAACCTAATAATAGCATTGCAAACATGATAGCGTGTTCAGGTTCTGTATACAAGTTTGAGGATTAAAAACTAAAATGAATGGGCAATTTTACAATAAAGGCTTCAAATGAATTCTCTAGATTGTCCCCTAAAAATATGAACATCAAGTACTAAATCTTCTTCGTTTGTTAACTCAAAGACGCAAACATTTCCAGGTTGCAACTTACATTCTTTTGCAAATGGGCTCCAACCTTGAGACAGCTTTGTTGGAACAGCACCAACCAGTTTTACCCGCCATGATTTATTCCCAAACTGTAACGTCACCTGTTTCTTGTGGAAGTACTCTCTCACAAAATCAAGTGGTACACGCTACATCAAATTATATTTCCATCAGCTAGATATGAGACATCATTCTAACTATCAACAAAACTAACAAATAACTAAAACCGATCACATATGGTGGCTAATAGCAACTTAAGTTGCTTCATAACTAAACCTACCGGTCTGAATCTCCCCTATGTTGCCCTTATTTTGAGCGTGAAAAAAGGATTTACGGACGTGAACTTTGCTGGCTTCTTGCATAGCTCCATTTGTGAATGGCATGACAAAAAAACCACATGAAATTTAGAATGAACCCTACACAATATTCAAATATCTTGGAAGATTTTAAAGTAATTAAACTATTATTTACCTTTGATGGAAAAAGATCAATACATCTCAGTCTTGGATTTTCGTAAGGTCAACATATTCTCTATCTGATTCAAAGGAAAAATCTACAGTCATACTTTACACAATAGTACAGTGTTATTTGAAAGAAATAAAAACCACCCACTTAGATTACCTTGTAACTCGAACATTTATCTTGTGAAATTGGAATTATTGACACTTTAAAACATGGATCTTGGCTCTTGGTTAGCTCAAAAATGCAAACTCCCCAACATTCAAATAGTATTGTGATACTACGAATATGGAAGGTTGCCTTGTAGGAGGTCGGCAAGGTTGGTGGGTTCTGCAATGGAACATGAACAGGGAGAGTGAAGAAGTGCAACGATGGGTTTGAACTTTTGGGTGGTGGGAACGACCAACTCGTGAGACAGGGTGAACATGCTTGTTTGATTCAATTTTCATTTGAAGTAAGTTGCAATTGTTACATATTTGATGTCAACGAATGTTGTGTTAACATATGTTCTTTTTAGGAGTCGTCCTCCATCATTGCAAGCTTGCAGAAGACAAGATTATTGATTAAGAACTCTCATTGTCACGCTCCAATATGAACATGGCATGTACCAAGGAAAAAAAAAACTAGTAACTCCTTGCTATCCCAAGGAAGGACAAAAACTGCTTTCAAACAAAAACACTGCTACTAAGTTAGGACAAATTATAACAATATGTTTTTTCAATCAAAGAAACCTACCATTAATGGTTGACATATTGCAGTAGTTTTTGACATGTACTGTTAAAAAGATAGAGATAAAAATGGACTCAATGAGAGAGATGAATACAACGGGATGCCAAAAAAGATTTTTTTGTGGGTTGTAGATAAAGGATTAAAATACCTTCTTACGGCGTATTATATTTGTTATCAATAAAAAATAAAATAAATATTTAATTTATATTTTGTTAAGTTAAATTTAATTAAAATTAATATTAATTTATATTTTTATAAAGTTAATTTTTATTAAAATTAAATTTAAATTTTATTTTATATTTTTATAATTTTATTTTAATAAATTATAAAAATATATTTTTTTAAATATTTATGAATATATGCATATATTCATAAATGTATTTAGATTTTAAAATATTTATAACTGTTTTTTAAGTAAATATTTATGCTAGTAGCAAATTGAGTAACGAATAAATTTTTTTTGGGTCAAATTACAGTAGATCTGTGTCCAACATAACCTGTTATCAGTCCAGGACGTGTATATTAATTCATATAAGGTATAGATATGATTTAACCAACTTTATAAAAGAATATAGGAGAAAACATAAGGAATAGTTCTCCGTCCCAGCACATCTCCAAAAAAATTCTAGGTTTAATAGGTTCGGAAGTCCCAATATTTGCGGGTTAGTTTTAATTGGGTCCTTCAATTTTGGAAGTGATCAATTGAGTCCCTGTTTTGGTAAAATTGAATCAATAATGTCCTTGTCGTTAATCTTAGTAAACGGTGTTAACTTTCTAGCGAGGTGGCATGCTGAGGTGGCTTTTAATTAGCACGTGGCACGATGTGTGGAAACCTTCTCCCCTTCCCCTTTCCCGAAACCTTCTCCCCTTCCCCTTCCCCTTTCCCGAAACCTTCTCCCCTTCCCCTTCCCGAAACCTTCTCCCCTTCCCCTTCCCCTTCCCGATCCCCTCTCCCCTTCCCCTTCCCCTTCCCCTCCAACTTCACCTTCTCCCATCTTTGGGAAACTTTCTTCTCGCCCTCCCACACCCACGCCATCTCCCTGTCGCCGCCGCGCCCCTCCTCCGCCACCTCTACCTTGGCGACAACTTTTTCTCCGGCCAGATTCCTCCTGAATATGGCACTTGGCAGCACCTCCATATTATTTTTATTTTTCTCAAATCACTGTCAGACATTACAACAAATAACACCAACATTGCATATATGCGATTCCAACATAAAAAGAAATTGAAAAAAGAAAGGAGTTGCTGCAAATGTTTGGACTGGTCAGGAATATTGCTGCAAAAAGAAAGGATAATAATAAAAAAAACTTTACAAAAAAAGTAAACACTTAATTATGCATATTGCGAAATAGTTTGGAAGAAAAAAAAAACTGTCGAGAGAGCAATATCGATGTCATAGCACTCTTTTCCCAGAAGCTGCAGAATAGAACAAATAAAAAGAGGACAAAAAGAATAACAAGGAAGGAATTAGGGCTAAAAATGAATGGAGTGTGTGACCTTGTCGCGAATCCAGCCACCCGCGACATAGAGCTAAGATCAAAGTGTTGAAGAGTGGCAAGAAGCCTATCAAAGATGCTTCTCTCGGTATCAGATACGTCGATTCTGTCACGAACCTGAACCGTAGACATTGGTGCGCCACCGCAACTCCGAAACGACGGCAGAGGGCGAAGTAGAGGTTGGGGAATTGTGGAGAAGTGCGGCAGTAATGAGACGGCAAGCGACGATGAGAGATGTGGAGGCAAGGGAGGTGCGCTTGACGGTTGGATTGGGGGATGAGCGTGAATGTAGATGTTGAAGAGGTGGGTGTGGGAGGGTGAGAAGAAAGTTTCCCAAAGATGGGAGAAGGTGAGGTTGGAGTTGGAGAGGAAGGGGAAGGGGAAGGGGAGAAGGTTTCGGAACTAATTGAAACTAACCCGCAAATATAGGAACTTCAGAACCTATTAAACCAAAATTCTATTATGTCCTTTTCGTTAATAACACTTAACCATCTGCTGGTTATTTTTTTTAATTTCTTTTAATTTACTTTTTTAATTTTTATTTAATAATAATAATAATAATAAATTACAAAATAAAATTTAATATTTTAAATTAAAAAAATAATAAATTAAAAGTTTATTTGTTTTAATTCAATAATAAATAAATATTTTTTATTTAATAAATATTTAATTAAATTAATATTTTTAATATAATTAGATATATATTAATATTTTAATTTATAAAATATTATTTAATAAACCAAAATAAATAAAACATATTAAAAAATTAAAAACAAAAAAGAATTAAAAAAATATGTTAACCTTGTTTGGAACAGTAACTGGTTAACATTTTTTTAAAAGTTTTTTTAATTTTATAATATATTTTATTTATTTATTTTAATAAATAATATTTTATAAATTAAAATATTAATATATATTTAATTATATAAAAAAATATTAAATTTTTAATATTAAATATTAAAAAACAATATTTTGATTATCAAATTTAAATAAATAATATTTCTAATTTAATTTTTTCATTTAAAATATTAAATTTTTAATTCTTTTAATATGTTTTATTATTATTATTAAGTTAAAATAAATAAAAAATAACCAGCGTAGATTATTATTAATTAAAAAAGCATAATATAAATTTTTGGATGTGCAAGAAAAAAATAATGGAGGTACAGGAAAACTGCTCAAAAATAAAAACGACATCAGTTAAAATCAATTTATACATATTCATTTATAATATTTTTTTTCAAATAACCTCCATTTTTTAATTTATATGTATATTCATTTTATTTTATTTTTCTTAATTTTCTCTTATGAAATAAATAAGAAAAAACTTATAGCTACACACAGTTACTTGAGACTTTAGATAAAAAGTTACAATTGGCAATTTGATATTGCCAGAGAATTAATTTTTCTCACTAAAATAATAATTGCAGAAAATTTTAAACAGTTTTAACATTTGATCTTCGCAATGTCTATATTACCCGGACAAAGACTTAAATATGAGACAAGTAGAAATATAAAATCTAGATCACCTAATAAATAAATTGGTACTGTGTAACAGCATTTCCATGTTCTATAACATGTTCTATAACATGTCCCCCGGCCAAAACAAATGTCAACCCTCTTCGATTCTACTGTTGGTCTGACACTAGAAGAGACTGAGATTTGGTAAGTGCCAGAATGCAACTTTGTACAGTAAGCATAGATAACTCCTTAGCAGAAGTGATCAGTACTAGAGTCTGTATCAGAATCTCCTGGTGTTGGAAGAAAAATTCTTGTCGGAAACACACATCTATATACAGATTGAACCACTGAATTTCGAACTTCATTCAAGCAATTGGTTGACTGCCAGGGGCATCATTCTCAGCTTCACTTGTCAAGCAAATCCATCAATTCCATTTTACACTCCAGACCTCTCAGATAGTATCCCAGCAGCACGCACCTTTAGGGGGAAACATAAAGAAAATGTTAGTTTTGTTTCATAACTTCATCATCAACAAACACTGCACTCATAATTAACAAATTTCGAAATAATTCTTTATCTCCTTTACAGCAGTATTAACACTAATTGCTCGTTCTTGCGAATAAAAAAATACATGTACGAAGGAATGTAATCAAAAGCAGGGAGGAACTAACCAAAACAGCAGGCGGGCAAGATAGTCCCTAGTCAAGGAAATAACAGGCTGAAAAGGAAGAGCAGAGTTCTCAACAACCTCAGCACAATCCTCACTTCTAACATTTTTTGGCCCAACTTCTGACATGGTGGAAGGTTTAGAATGCATTTTAGGAGAAAGGGTAGCAAGAAGACCATGCACAACAGAGAGCATGATTTCCTTCAGCTCAGGGGATGAAAATTCTGAAAGCTGAGCTACCTGCTCATTAGCCACACACACCCAACCAAATTAATAAAATTAATTAAAAAAAACTGAAAATATAGTTAAATGAACTAGGCATTCACATTAATAATGTCATGATTAAGAAGGAATAATGTCATCTTCAAATGTTTTGAATGAAAACTTGAATTCATCAAACGTCCAGTGTAGCAATGGAAAAAAAAAAACAAGTATTGAGGACCAGGAGACATAAACCTATGAGAATCTTACAATTCACTATTAGAATCCAATAATTCAATAAATTCAGTTAACTATTCATTCATATCATAAGATGAACCTCGCGACTCTGTATCTTACCATACAAAAATGAACCTAAGCAATTTTGTATCATGTATATGAATTACACTATTTATTTTCTCTTTTTTTTCACATGAAAATGAAAAGTTTTATAAGCTAAAGTTGTAAAATGAAAAGGAATTGAAGAAGAATTTTTAAGCATACAATATTTCACTATTATTCCACTGCTTTATTTGTCATTCATTCATTCAATGCATGTGTTCTTCTAAGCAATTTCTTTGCTTTGTTTCCATTCTTCTAAAAGAAAGGCTTCACAAACTCAAATATACTACTAATTTTGTTCTACCTGTTTCTAGTTTAAAATTATTATACATCATCTATATCATATATTTAAAGTAAATTTTCATCATCTATCCCTAAACATTACAA